CCCCGCCCGCCGCATCAGGAAAGAGCCAGCCAAGCCCAGGAACGCCAGCAAGAGTCCAGACGTGACCAAGGCGATCAAGGTCTTCTGAGAAAAGTCCTGGTGGTTCCTCACACTCCCCCGCTTAAGGGATTTTATTCCAAACTGGAAAAAAAAAAAAAACCACCGAAGAGAGCTGGGAGTCTGACAAACAGGAAACATGTGCATCTGCTGAACAGGCACCAGGCTTTAAAACAATGCTGCTCTTCACCTCCTTCTTAAACCTCACGTAAACAAAGCTGGGCTTTGCTACCCAAGCTCCTGAGCTTTGCACTTGCCCCGTGAGCTCTCACATCCTCATGGTCTCATTTCCATCCCAGCGTCCTCTGTGGCACAGGGTAATTTTCTTCCTCGGACAAGAGTGCTCAGGCCCTGAGATTTAGAGCTCGCATCTGCACAGCTGGACTATCTCTGTGTGCTGCTGCAGCTCTGTGGGCTGCCACCTATACAGGCACCTGGAGCTCAGCTTTACGGGCCGACGGCAGCCTCACTGGAGAGGAGGAATTAATTAATGTCAGCGTGGTACTCTGAAGAAGCAGAGTGCCAATTACATCCTAAGAGTTATTGTTGGGATCTGGCCCTTTTTTAAGGAAATACTACCAAATTTCACAGTAACTATTTCAAGCATTTCTGCCTTCAGTGGTTGTGTCAGTGCTCTTGCAGCGCACCGCTGCCTTGCTGCACGTCTGCTGGTTGGCTCCAACCGTCTCACGTGCCAATGATCAACAAGTCCCTCCGAGACGGGGGCAGGTTCAGTCTCAGCCGTCTACCCCAGCCTCAACTGACCGTCTAAAAATCCCCTTTCTCCAGCTACTCTGGCCTTCCATTTTTTTTTCCAGCTGAATTTGATCAAGGAATTTACCTTTTCCCAGTGAGACTCCTGGAGCATATCTGCAGCAGGATCTGCAAGGTTTAAAACAGGAGAAGCACATTACAGAGAGGGACAGGTTGCAGCTCACACCAGCACTGAAGAGTCCGGCCATTGACGAACCCGGAGGAGCTGTGAGCCCCTTCACGGCCCTGGAGGCAACGCCATGGCCCCATGGATCTAGCAAGACCCCAGCAGGAAGAGCAGTAGCTGCAGAGAGGTCTCCTCCAGGCTGTGACTGAGGATTTGTGTCCCACAGCCTCTCCCCACAAGCAGTCCCCGCTCCCACTGCCCACGTCGAGGTCACTATGCAGCAGTATCAATGACAGCCAAAGGAATGAGCTCAACTGACCTCTCTCACCGACGAGGATGAGGAGCATGCAGTCACGGTCCACCTCGGATTTAGCGAGTTTAATCTGGCAGGGGGAGGGAACGCGGTGGGCGTTGTCTTCACATATTGCACTCCACAAGTCCGACCCCTTCCTCTCCAAAAAATGTTTCTGCAAAATTTTCAAACAAACAGACACTGAAGCAACCAAACCGCCTAAATCTCCACCTCAGCTATGCTGCCAGCACTGCTGGTAGGGTTGTGCATTCACCCTTTGGGCTTTGGCAGCTCATCTGTGCGGTGCAAAGCTGAGCAGAAGCAACAAGAAGTGCCAAGCAGCGCTGGGCTGGGTGTCAGACCTCCACCTCCCGCTCCACCACTGCTCTGGGCCCCAATACCAACACCTACAAATGCAGATATTTCTTTCTTGTTTATTAACTTAATGAGATTAAATCAAACGAAGATATTATCAGCAACTCTTGCAAATAGCACTTAAAGAAAGCTAAATTTAGAATCTGAATTGTATGGCAAGTCCCACCAGCTTTTGGACCGAAACAGCCGTCCGAAGAGCCCTATTGTTTCAGAGTCCCAGGCAGAGGCTGGGAAAGGAGGGAAATAACAAAGAAGCATTGAGCTTTCCTGTTTAGGAAATGTCTTCAGTGTTTTTGCTAGGTTGCTGATCAAAGGCTAGGCAAAAAAATACAAATTTCTCACATTTTAGAGCTGAACCGACTCTTGGGTGGAAGAGGAAGAGGAGTGAGGAGCTGCAGCCTTTCCCTTCTGCAGACCAACTTCTCTGTCAGACAGGACAGGCCTTCTCCTCAGGTCTATTTTCAGTTACAGACAGGCTGAGAGACAGAGCCCACAGTGGCTGAAAGACCTTATCAGCTTCCCTGACATCCCCCCAGCTGGGGCCATCACCTGAGCTGAGCCCAGCCCACCCCATCAGACAGAGACGGGCTGCAGCTGAACCCCATCTCCTGCCCCTGCCCTCGGCTCACACCCCGGGAGGTACCCCCCAACGTGGGGCTGCGAAAGACGAGGAAACCCGCTCGCCTTGCAGCGTTGTGCAGAGCCAGGCAGCTCAGAACCCTCCTCCCGTTGCCTTAGAATGGCCTCAGTATTGTGCTCCGATCGCCACATCCTCTTAGCATACAAAAATGCAGAAACTTATCCATGGGAGAATAACAAACAAATCATTTTCAGCTGTTTCTATAGAGCTTGGCTTGGGGTGAGAAAGGCCAAGATGGAACAAGAGACCCAAGTGTGTATTTTCCTTTCTCTGCTGTGGAAAGAACTCATCGGAGTGTCAGAATTTCCCTTTGCAATTAGCAGCGCTGGGTGCCAGCTTATTGCTCATCTGCTTTGGGAAAGGCCAGCAGGGAAGCGAGGCGCAGCGCGGTCCCTCCTATCTGCTCTCCTCGCAGACGCTCTTATCGGGTTCCCAGGTTCCGCGGCTGCTCAGCCTGAGCTGGTTTTTCCCCCCTCAATGATTAGCTGAGGCGGAGGCATGGGAGAGGTCTGCTGTGGGGAGAGAGCTCCCGGAAAAACACGGCTGGAAGCGGAGCGGTTTGACACGGAGGGAGGGTTAAGAGTGCAATTAGGTACGACCCTGTGGGATGCTCTGTATCTCAGCTATGCACCCATTTCTGTGTGCGCAGGGACGTAACGCACGCATGCTGTGTGTAACCCCTGGGCCGTGGCCCACTAGATGACACCTGCAATCCGAATCGCTCCCTCCCGGAGCAGTTTCCATCCGAATTCTTGCTAAAGTGCAGTCGCTGTAAACAGGAGCCAGTCTAAGCGCCATTTAATCGCCACTTTGCAGAGAGAAGCCAAGTCAGAATTCATGCATCCTAAGTGGTGGCAGCAGGGCTGGCCAGCAGAAGTAAAATTAATCATTCCCATTTTATCCCCAAGGCATTGCCAAGGCTGCTGCCCACAAGATCCAGCACGACCTGGCCTCTGTTGCAGGTTGTACCTCCTGCGGGAAAGGTTCCTCTCCTCCCCCCCACAGTGGTGTCTCAGCCGCACCCTCCTCTGCTTTTATAAATGCTTCATTTTTGGTGCACAAGGCCCAGGGCAGAGAGCCTGGGATTCCCTTAGGAGTCAGAGCAGACGGGGACACGGATCAGGCACCCGTGCTCCTTCAGATGGCCTGTTTTCTTTCCTAGGAATGTTGGCAAGACAAAAAAAGGCGCTCGCCTTCCCAACAGGGAAGAGGAAGAAGAAGAACAAAGGCAATTTCCCGTTAAAGGTGATGGGAGATCCTTTAGAAGCTGATCTGACCCCAGAGCTTCATCGTGAAAAAGGAGGTTTTATGCAACCAGGAGGTGGCATTTCCCCTGGGATGCTGCGATCATCCCTTTGGGATCCTCCTGGGACTGCTGTGATTGTCCCTTTCGGATCCTCCCGGGACTGCTGTGATCGTCCCCACCTCCATTAGTCCGGCACAGCTCGGACGCTCTGCCCTAGGGATAACAGTGCGAGCTTCCCACCCCGAACCGACCCCCCAGGTACGGTGGGTGACCCCATCGCTGCAACCCCGAGAGCACTGCAGGAACCTGCCCTCGGCTCTTTGCTCGCAGCCCCCCTCCTCCTGCATGCCCCCCGCCTCGGAGACGCGTAGCCGCCCCGGGGCTGCAACTCACGCAAGTGTTGGACTCGTTGAGCTGCAAGCAGATGGCTCCGGTGTCGCTCACTTCTTTGACATTGTGGCATGTGATGGGCTGGAAGGGAAAAAAGCGCAATGCTGGTGTCAGTGAACACATCCAGGCTCCTCGTGGTCCTGTGGCCCGCGGTGCTGAGCCACATCCTCACCTTCAGGCTCTCCCTGACTGTGGGCAGTGCTGTGGTGGTATCTGAGACGGGAGGATGCCCCGAGGTGGCAGGAGAGCTCGTCAGAGCTGGCATGGACCCTGGGGCTTCTGCCGTCGTGCTGGGTTGTGTTGTTGGGTGCTTGGCTGTGGAGAGCCCTCCGCTCGTGTGGTCCGGCTCCGGCTCCGAGGTGGTGCTCAGCAGCTGCGTGGGGGCTTGGCTGGGCTGGGGGCTCGACTGCTCACTGCTGAGCCCCAGGGAGGTGGGGCTGGCTGCCAGGGACTCGGCCACAGCTTCGGTTTTGAAGAAATGCAATGAAAAGCATACATGAGAAAGCTTAAGTCCTCTAAAATCAGTGCGTGGCATTGCGGTGACTGAAGTACAATATTGATTTGTCATAGCCAGTAATACCAGAACGTGTTACTGGCTGCATAAGAAACGCACATTAGACTTGCTTCGGTTACCTAATTGTTACAAGCGCTTTATAATCTGTTTACAATGGGCTAATTTCCTGGGCATACACTGCATGACAGCAAGGATGCCACTGCCCGACCTCCCCTGCATCGCCCTCGCCTCCCCCTTGACCCAGAGCCTTCGGAAAGCTGATTTCAAAGATTTCAAAAGATTTCATACAGCATAAGAGAAGGGCACCATACATCTGTGCAAGGGTCCCCGCTTCCCAGCCCTGCAGAGCTCTGGCCTCTTACCATAAAGGCCGGCAGACCTCTTACGGGTACCATTTGCTGAGCAAAGAACAATTATGTTGAGATAAAAGATTAATGAGCATTTTGTCCCATCATCTCCTGGCCATTTCCAAAAGGGTGGGTCCGAGCGGCCCCTCCCGAAGCCAGCAGTGTTGCCCTGCCTCAGGCAGGGTTTTCTGGACAGGATTAAAGCTTTTGACCATACCACATCAGGCTTTATTTTTTTTTTTGAGAGCACAACCCATGCACCGACTGCGCGGTTTCTTAGGGTAAGTCTGTGCGCTTAATAAATTCGATTCATCATCAACAC